CCTGGCCCTGGACACTTCCAGGGATGGCAGGCAGCCACTCTGGGTTTTTGGCTGAACCCATTCATAGAGAAAAAAAAATAAATGTCACTGGCTAAGCCTGCAGGGACTCTCCAGCATCCATGGGCACACAGAGCAGCATTTAAACAGGAATGCCCAGGTGTTCTGTGCTTGCAGGGTGCCAACACAAGGCACTGCTCTGGCACTGCTGCTCCTGAGCATGTTTACAGCACAAGCCAGATTAAACTTCAGATATTGAACCATTTGCTTCAAGGGAGTTCCATCAGCATCTGACTTGGCCTGTCTCTCTCTTATTTGCTTCTCTCTGCCTTTGAGAACAATGCTGTGCCTTGGTTTTATCAATCAGAGCAGTCTGAGAGGACTCCCTGCAGCACCAAAGAGCCTGGAGGACATTGAGCTGCAGGAAAAAGACAAGCAGAGAGAAGGAACCTGTGCTTTAAAAAAAGGGAAATCTCTAATGAAACCCTAATTGTGCAGCTGTGCCCTTTCTACAGCACATCTCAGCACTCTCATCTGCATTTTCAAGGAAATAAACTGGCTTTCCATTGGTATGGAATTCATCAATGCTGCCAAAGGCTGGACAAGCTGATGCAGCTCAATGCTCTGCAAGGAACAAGTGTTGAGAAAAGCTCCTTCACTGGAGAATGCTTCACTGCAGCCTTCTGCTGAGAAAAGGGATAAAAACAGGGATAAAAATCAGTGAGGACGATCTCCTGGGCTGTGCTGCTCAGGTCACAGGTGCTGTGCAGATGGACACAGCCTGTGGGAAGCCCTGGAAAAGCCCTGAACTGCCCCCAGCAGCAGCTCAGCTCAGGAACTGCAGCAGGAGGGAAAGGAAAACACTGTGGACAAGCAGCTGCCAAGGGCTCTGGTGCTGCTCAGGCAGGGCAGGAGGGTGGCTGCCAGCCCAGGCTGCCAGAGCACGTCCTGCCAAGACAGCCAGGCACCAGAGCAGAAGGGAATGAAAGAAGAAAGGCCATTAGCCTTGGGTGCTGTCAGAGAGGGCCTGGAAGTGCTTTGGTCCCATATCCCAAACCAGCTGAGACACGTGTGCCCCCAGTCCTGCTGCCTCTGGCTTCAGGTGGCAGAAACTGGCACCAGCTCCTCCCCTTGCAGCCTTCATCAGCTCCAGGAGAGGAGAAACAGAACCCTGAGCTGCCTCTGCTGCTGCATGAGCTGGGAGGATGTGAGGCAAGAGGGGAAGCAGAATTGCAGCTGATGTGGTCAGTGCCAGCCTGCTCTGCAAAGTGCACACTGCTTCCCTTCCCTTCCCTTCAGGTGACAGAGCTGACTGCAGGGTCTGTCATGGGACAGCTCCTGAGGAATATTGCTTTTCCTCACTCACCTGACTCATTTGACTCATTCCTCCTTTATTTCTCCTGCTCTCATTGCAGATTGATCTCTTTTCTGATATTCAGCTGTGTCCTGAGCACACACTGCTCCCTCAAGGTTTGTTATGCTGCCAATAAATAAATTACCTGCTAATAAACCCCCCTCAAACTCCCACTTCTCTTTTAGGCTGAAGATAATTAAATTCATGCATGAGTTAGTAATTTCTGTGACTGGACACTGGAATATACTGGGAAGGTAGAAGGCTGTGCACACTAAGGCACTGCAGGATTTACTCTGAGCTTCCTCTGCAAAGCTGATTCAAATATTATGGTAACCAAACTGTGGTCAAGAAATTGATAAAAACATGTGAAGATCCTCTCACAGACAGAGCAAACCATAATTTGATTATGCAATAAAGGGTGATAAGGCTGTGCCTTGGCCCTGCCTGCAATCAGCCATCACAACCAACTCACTGACTCCAGCTTTAATAAGCATTGCTTAAGACATTAACCAACATGAATACAACTTTCATAATAAGTTATACTATATATATATATTGTATAACTTATTATAGAACTTTTGTATATTATATATTATTATTGTATATTATATATGATTATATGTATTATATATTTATACTTACTGTATAACTTATTATAAAAGTTATTTATATACATATATATATATATACACACACACAGGTAACACAACTTTTCACAGTGCAAATGTGGGTTGCAACTGTTTCCATTTAATAGATGAAACAGGTTTAATGATCAGGATGTGAGGCCCTAGGAATGCCTCTGGTTGTGTTCCTGCACAAAGGGAGTGTCTGCCTGCTTGTTCTCATTGCCCACTGCTGGTACCCAGGAGATGGGAAAGAATTCATAAAATTGTTCATCTTGGCTGGTTGGTAACACAGGGAGCAGGAAAGGGAGGGTGGAGGGATGCTCCTTCTCTGCACAGCAGCAAGAGGTGACTATTTCTGCACAGAAATTGTCATGAGTGTCACTGAATTACACAGTGACAGCAGTGAATTTATCATGTTTGGAATATTTTTTAAGAATACTTTTATAACGTAATTCAATGACAGAACCTGTTTTTCCCAGTCCTTAGCCTAAAAGACTTCTCTGCCCCAACTGTTGTATTGGTCCTGGCTGCTGCCAAACACCAGCAATGGAAAATTCATTATTTACAAATTTACAAATCAAAATCTTTAAATAACATCGAGTAGAAGGGGGGAAGCAATTCTTTCCCCCTGCCAAGATCCATCTGATGCACCTGGAAGCTGCTTCCAGACGTACAGGGAGACACTTGGAAAAGCCTCAAAGTCATTTTTTCTCTGCTCTAACTTGCAGGCTACAAAAAGGAATGAGGATATTACACAGCATTGCAGAATCAATAGTTATTGTGGGAATCATTGGTTTGATGTCAAGGCCAATTAGCTGCAAGTGGAATTAGCACATGCCCTGAGCTGGAAGACAAGAACATGTTGTTTCCCTAGATGGGAAAGATGTGGCCAGGTGTGCACAGAAATTCTGGAACTGGCACCACATTTCCCAATGCTGACACATCCCACAGCCCTCAGGAGCCTGCAGCAATGGCCTGGTCTGTCCTGGGCATGGGACAAACAGACAGGAGAAACCTGCAGCCCAGACTGACCCTTTGCAAATGCAATTTACCCAGGAAAGGCCAGCACAGCTATTCACCCTGTGTCAGGTCACCCAACACACCAATCTTATCCCCTCACCTTCCCAACTTTTGCCCTGATCTGTGCCAACAGAAGTTTTATTCTGTTTCATTATTTATAACTTTTCTGGGACTGATCTATGCCTGCTTTGGCTACTGAGGCAATGATGCCATCCAGAGGTGCTCGGGTGCAGCACAGAACTCTGTCATCAAAGGCTAAAGGCAAAGACACCACCTTTGTATATCTTATATATCAGATTTTAAGCTAACCTCACCACCAAATAATTATATTTTATTTATTTTTAATTTATCCCGCCCATCACTTGTTATTTTCTGTCTCTCCTCACCGTGTGCCTTTTTTTCTAAGTGTACTAAATAAGTCACTCTGAAAAACACAGATACACCTCTGACCTCTCCTGGCAAACAGGAGTTACTTCATTCATTCTGCTCCCAGTGCTGAGAGCAGGCCTGGCACAACACAGGGAACTGAGAGAGACACTCATCTGTGTCTGACTGCTCTGCAACAGTGCCTGGGCTGAGAAAGCATCAACCCCACACTGAAACGGGAAACACAATCTTTGTTCCCCACCCAGGACAGCCAGCTACTCCTTTCAGCTGTGAATTCATGACTCAGACTTGACACAGGAAAATGCCTCTCTCACATAGGATTACACACATTTATGTGTGTTTGTGTGCACAGAGTTTGTGCCAGCTGCCTGAGCAGTGTGGATGCAACACCACCATTTCATGACACATTTCATGATGGTCAAAGCATGGAACAGGAGAGTTCTGGTCAGCAGCAAAGACCTAATTCACCTCTGTGTGCAAAGATACCTTCTTTGCTGGCACTGGATCTGTGTGGCAACAAAATGGGGATTTGCAAAGTGATCCCATTCATATCAGCATAAAAATCAACCACCAAATCCTTATTTTCTCCATTACGAACCTCATGGGATTAGAGCCACAGAAAGTCTTGAGTTGGAAGGGACCTGCATGGATCATCAAGTCCAGCTCCTGGGACTACAAAGATTACAAATAATCCAAAAAGCATAATTTTTTAATCTTTTGGATTTCCCAAGCTTTATTCACACACACATCTGATTTTCAGATGTACTATCTTAAAATTTTAGAAAATACAATACACTTGTACCTGACTTTTTTTCCTCAGAAACCATCACTTACTGGTCCATTAGAATTCAGGCACAGAGTATTATTTTATCACCTTACACAAACTAAAAAGGAAAATTTATGAACAGATTGACTTGAAAACAAGCAAAATAACTTTTCAGATAGTTTATGGCAAGCATAATTGTCATGTGCTGTATCCCTCCCCAAAGGAGCATCCTTCTTTTACAGTCTCAGGATTTGAGAGTGAAGAAAAACTGAAAACACAAATTACATCAGATGGCAAAGGGTGTGGCTGAACCATTCCAGAAGGAGGCATGGTTCTGGGTAAGGGGAGATGGCTAAAATGAGATTTTGGTGTTGGGATCACAATGTCAAGTGGAAGGACAGATCTCTGCACTGCATTTGGAGCCACCATGAGCTGCCCTCAAACCCAACCTGCTCAGCACTGGGTCATGTCCTGTTTCTAATATAACCCCTGTCATAGGTTTCAGACAAGTGTACAACACTTTCATGCAGCAGCAGGAAAAAAACAAGCAAACCCCAGGAAATGCACCAGCTCTGTGTGCTCTGATGAAAATAAATACAGCAGGAATTTAGCAGAAAGTATTTCTTCAAAAGAACAAAGACAGTCTTGCTTTGATCCCCTCCTGCTACTTTCACACAGGTTTTCTCCAACAAGAAAATACCAGCATCCACCCAAGTCTGTGCTGCACAAGGAGGTATTTGGGCAGACAAGAAATGCAAACCCACATTGAGAACAAGGGGAAAGGATGGGGAAGAGGCAGGGACAAAGCCTTGAGGCTGTGCTCTGGAGGAGCAGGGTGAGCTGCACTGACCTGAACTTGCCCGTCCGCACCTGCAGCGCTCGCATCCCGCACTGCTGGGCTCCCCCGACATCATTCACAATGTCATCCCCGATCATGATGGCCTGTCAGGGCAGTGAAATACAGCAAAAGTTCATTTCTGCCATCTGTCACCCTCCCCTGACATAACAAACAGCTTGAGCTGAGGCCTAACGCTGCCACTGGACAAATTAAACACGATAATATTGTCACCGTATTGATTAAAAGTCATCCTGCCCTGAGGGAAATTCATGCCACAGCTCCTCCAGCAGTGAACTGGCACAGCACACACCTGTGCAGTTTGTAATCAATCACACAAATCAAAGGGATTTGGGGCACAGTTGAAAGAAAATGGTGAGTTTTATGAAGTTAGGCCTCTTCTCTTCATAACAATCCATTCCTGCTATGCTCCAAGCAGCTTAAATTAAGCTTAACTTCTTAAATCTGCTGTTCTACAGGCTGGTCAAAAGCTTAAGCTTGTAATCACTGAGAGCTTGATCCCAACCTGTTCTCAGGTTGATACAGAAATTCAGGAAATCACTGCAAAATGGAATTTATTCATTTTTGCACAGAATGACACAATGTGTACAGGCCTAGCACTGTTTGTGTTACAGTATATGCCAATATTAATAAACAAAAGTGAGTGGATTACCAAAAAAGTAACTGGTTGTGCTAAGATTTGTCTGGTGCTTGATAAAAAGAGTGCACAGAGCAACTTCTTGCCTCTGTTAAAGATATTTATTAGATCAGAGTGCATCAATCAACGAGTCCTTTCTGTTGACAATCACATCACCAAAATTTCAAGTGCTTATCATCCTGCATTACAAATTACTGTATTTATTCTATTCTTCAAATTTAAAATGATTGGGGGAATGCCATTTTATAGTTTCAACAAACCCCAGTATATACACAAAACAGCAATTTTCCATTAATGATCAAAAAAAATCAGCTTTACACCTCCCAAAGGTGTTCTGGATTATTCTGCAGAGAACAGAGGCAGCACCTAAAACTGGGGAGGCACAGATTTGAAAGTCTGTAATGTGGTTTATCAATCATATTTTATTTTTTTTAACTTTTGTATTGAAGTTGAATTTTGTCTAATAGAGAGCTAGCTGCATCTTTAACTATTTTATTTTCATCTTTTAAATCAGCATTTTGCTTCATGAATTTAACTGCCTGGCATTCACAACCATGGTACCTTCCAGCTCCAGACATTCCTGCCTGAATTTCCATCCCCAGCTCTGTTTTGTTTGAAGAATAAAAATACTAAACTTCCATAGCTATTTTTATGAATTATCTAATTGCAACAGGATCTTCTCCCACGTATTACACTGCCTGTAAAGGAAATACCTAAATTTTCTGAGAGGATTCATAAACCAAACCGAGCTACAAACGAGTAAATCTGGGACAGTTTCTCCTGTAGATAGTTCACCTTTCATTAGTGCTCTTCCAAACCAGCAATTCAGCAGGAAATGGGGAGAAAATGATAGGTTAGAGTCAAGTAATAAGGAAATCAAGCATGTAAATGTGGATAAGGAAAAGAGAATAATTCCATGGCTGCATGGAGAGCTGCAAGAACCTGGCAACACCATCGCCAGCCAAGCACCATTACCAATTCCCCCCAAGCTGCTCCAGGATATTTAATCACTCTCAACCACTGGCTTTAAGAGATTGTAATTCCCTTTTCTTACAGAATTCCTCCCAACACCTCCCTGAGGGTGAGAGGGAACAGACCTGCAGCACCCCACGCCCTTGCTCAGCCCAAACCCCAACACTGGGGATGTAAAGGCAATTTCAGTCCTAATAACCCTGGAAAGAATTTCCTGTGACAAAAAAGGGCAGAGCAGGGCAGCCTCTCCACGCAAGCCCTGTCCTGCTCACCAGGGCTGCATTTGACCCCATCCAGGGAAGTTTCCCTGCAGGAATCTGCAGCTCTGGAAGTGCAGCTGCAGCGGAGCAGCGATGCCTGTCCAGGCCAGCTTGTGGCACACGCATACAAAAATGTGCTCCAGCCCCCAGGGATTTCACAGATTTACTATCAGTGAAGGGCAATAATCACTAAAGGAGGAGCAATTATTCCAAAATCATTTAGGATTTAAAAAATCATTGGCAAGAAGATAGAGGTCAGGAGGTGTGCTGTCAAGGGAAATAAAAAAACTCTACCTGTCAAACCTGGGTTTAACTTCCTCTCTGACTGCAATATGGTAAGAAGAGAGAGAAAGATATAAAACTGAAAGGTCACATAGCCACTGAAAGCTGGAATTAGAAGATCTCCATTTGTGTTCACATTTTACACAGGGATCACACCATTAATCTGTTCAATCCTTCTGCAAAAGTTACTTTTTTTTTTAAATTGGCTACAAATTAACTAAAAAGAAGGAGAACAAAAAATGCAGTGAGTCTCTGGGTGTAATTTCAATTTCCCGAAGATGGTGAGAGGTGGTGCGTGGCTGCACAGCCACAGCAAATAAAGCACATGTGCCAAAGCTGAGGGAAAACACTGCTCTCAAAGGGTTCCACCAGACTCAGCCCAGAGGGGCAGGGAGAACAGAGGAGATCAACACAGTCCCCAGGAATTTGGGGTGGAATGGCAAAATAAAATCCCCACAGTCAGCAGTGCCACTGGTGCTGTCTGTGCCACAGACCCTGAGCAGCCAAAACCAATAAATATTCAGAGATGCTGTTGGGGTGGTGAGTGGGAACCTCAGGTAGGTTTTGTCCACAAACAGACTTTCAGCATTCATTAACTGGTCACAGAAAAATGTCTGACCAGAAAGGAATTACAGAGTAAGGAAATGAAGGAGGCAGAAAGAGGAGAACATCCTGATTCAGCCAGCCCTCAGATGGGGGTTTTGGAGGCTGGAGCCCATGCAGGATGCAAACAGAGATGCACAGAAGGCAGTGTGCTAACTCCACCAGAATATTTAGCACAGAGAATGCTTCTAGAGTCAGACATATTTATGCCTGAACAGATTTTTGCTATAGATTTAATAACCTTAAGCTAAATGTGCTAGGACCATGCGGAAATGAAGCTTATACACCACATCTTGATGTATTAAATCACTTTACACCAGAAATACAACACATGTACTTTTCTCTCTGTTCTCCTCACCCAAGGAACAATATCCAGGCTTGGGGATCCCACATTCCTGTTAATTTTGTTTCTATCTCAGAACTCCAAAGGTGCAGGGCCAGACAGCTCCCACTAAGATTTCAGCTGGCCTGAAGCTTCAAACTTTCCTTGGGCACGTTTATTTTGGGATGGAGGGCTGGTGGGCAAGGAGGGGATGCTGGCCCAGGAGCAGGTGCCCTGTGCCACCCTTGGGTGATCTCTCTCTGCTCTCATGCACCACTAACTCCCACCTGAGGCTTGCAGGTGGCAGCAATGGGAATTGCTTAACTACCAGCAGTTTATGGACTCCAGCATGACCTGCCATAACTCCCATTAAAGCAGGATAATTTGCTACAGAGAGAACTTTTTATGATTATATAAAACCACCAGAACCTTAACATTATTTAGGTTTTATTGTAAAGCTGTAAAAATCATCCACTGTTAACAGCTGCCTTAAAACACATGAATTAGGCATTTCAGTAACCTTTAAGATGTGTTATTCTTTGTCATAGCTCTGAATTGTAAGATAGGTCTGGTTACCTCGAAGAGGTTTAAATTTCCAATCTATTAAAGTAATACTGGCAATCTGTTATTTCTAGGCCATTGAGGAAAGGTTAAAATGAAAATTGGACTTTAGGGAGTTCCTCTTATTCTAAGTGCAGGCTGAAAACATCTCAGCAGCAGAAGGCAGAGTCAGGGTCTCAGTAAGAAGCAGTTATCAAGGGAAATGACTGGTGATAACTTTATTGATTAAAGCAGCTTGAGGAATTTCAGAATTGCCACTGTCTCAAATGACTGTGGTGAGACAGCTTTATTAAAAAGGTATTTTTCATTAAAAGCCAAGTGAAAGAAAATTGTAGCATGTTTTCGAAAGCACAGCTCATCTAAAATGGTTTAATGATGGTATGGATTAAATGCATTCCACAGGTGGAATAAATTATCGGAATAAACATTTTGTAAAAGCAAAGCAAAGTAAAACCAGCCCCTGTCATGTTACTACAAACGCAGAATTCGTCCAGGAGAAAGATTAAAATGTAATGCAGTGCATTACAGGAACTTACTGAAGTGACTATACTGAGGTTTTAAACTGAAAATAATGAGGTTTTATTATTGTGTACCACAAAACTAAACCAACCTGCAAATCCTTCTCCAAAAATACAATAAAGTCACAAGGTCAAGCACTCAAAACTTAGGAAAAGATGCCAGAATTAAGGTAGTTTGCTTGTTTGGAAATTGTTCCTCCTACACATGTGTGAATCATGATCCAGGCTTCAACTCCAGCAGTGTGGATTTGTGTTTCCATGGTGGAAAGCATGGAGTGACTGGTGCCTTTATCCAGTGGTGTCTGCTGCACCCCTCCTTGGTCAGGAACATTCTCCCTTCACTTCCAAACTCTCTAAAAATAAAACCCTCTACCTACAAACTAGATACATCACTACAACAGATTGAGGGCATTTAGCATTAGAAATAATATGATAAAAAGCCAAAACTCTGACAAAATATAAGTTAGGCATGAGTAGCAGACATGGCAAACAGCGGAGAATGAGTAAGTAATCTCTTCTGGGGATTATTCCTGCCTTTCTGTACCCAAACCAAACACTCCTGAAGCTGATGGGAGCCCTGTGGGAGCAGCTTTGAGCCTGGGGATGCATCACATCAGGTTTGTTCCCTGGGGCACGGACCAGAGACAGGAGCTCTGCACCTGGGATGTTCCAGGGACACTCCAGACTGGGATATCTAATTCCTGGGGGGATATGGACAGACTGAAGGGAGCACAGCAAAAAGGAGGGGGGTTGAAGGGAGGGAAGCAGCAGAACTAAAGCACAGATTTAGTAAAAAAACAACTCCTGCAACAATAACAAGTCTAGACATAACTGGATGAAGAAAATATCCAGCAAGTTACTTTGGTTGTTAACTAGAGTAAAACTAGAAATAAGGAGATGCAGTTTAAAAGGGAAATATCCTGATAAATCTCAGGAAAAGCTGCCTTCCCCCAAGACCCACGGGGCTGAACACCATCCCCAGGGCTCTGAGAGTTGTTTGGCTCTCTGAAAACTGCTGTGGACAAGACATTAATAACTGTGGAGCAGGGAACACTCCTGCATGGGGAAGGAGATGGATTAGATGGCCCACTAGGTCTTTTCCATCTCCCCACTCTGTAATAAAGCAAAACCCAAGCACATGCTGAATTACAGGGCCATAATTTCATCTCCAGGCTCCAGGGACCTACAAGCCACCCCAAACTTCCCTCCTGTTGTTTATAATGTCACCCAAACCCCCCTGATGGAATTATTGTGCTGTAATTCACTGCTGTTTGTGAGGCTTCTCATACTCATCCTTATGTCCTGGGTGACAGAACAACAAATCAACAAAGAGGAGCTGGAACAACTACAGAGAGGGGAAAATGGGCTGTGCTGAGGAAGCACAGCATGTTTCTGCAAAGCCAGAAATACAAGAGGGGGTTTTGGGGTCAGTCAGTGCTTCCTATTCACCAAAATTATAAAATATCTTACTTCTGCCTTTTTCTTTTACTAAAAAAAGGTAGTCAGTGTGAGAGCACAGGAAATAAAGGACATTTTGGGATCAATTCCATCACCCTGCAGCTACAGTCTCCAAACAGACTGCCAGGCATTAGGGCACCTCTTTTGTCTTTGCCAGGCATTCAGCCCTGGTCACATTCTCCTTCAGCCTCTTCTGTAACTTTCCAAAGCCACAGCAAAGCAGGGAAAAAGCAAAATATCTGGCACAGCCCCTGGGCATGGCACCTCACCCTTACCTGCTCTGGTGGAACTCCCAGTTCTGCCAGGGCTGACTCAAAAAACCTTTTGGATGGTTTCCCCACCACCTCAGCCTGGATATCACAAGCATACTGGGGGGAAACAAAAAAAGAGAGAGAAACACAAAAAATGCTGATTGGAAAAGGATTTGTTCAACTCCATAACTCCAGTTTTAAAACCTTTGTGAGTATTGATTTTTGCCCTTAAATAACACAATGGATTAGCAGGTGAAGGTGGAGATCAGAGAATTTGGATAACAGAAGTGTTTAAAGTTTTCTGGCAGGAGAGAAAATGCTCTTGAAACACCTCAAGGTACAAATCTTTCACATTTTCCATCACTGAGTAATCTTCAACTCAGTTCCAGTACTGCTCATTTTGTTAGGAGCATCACTCTTAGAGATGTAACAAATATTCTTTATATAAAACTATCAAAAGTACTGGAGGGCCTTAAAAGCTAGAGAGGATTTCTTCAACCACCTGGCATGATTTTAATGATCCAAGTGAAAAATCGAGTTTCAAATCCAGGTTTTGAAAAGTTACACTCGAAAAAGCAGATTTTACAAGTTACATTTTCCTGCAAGTATCAGTGCTATGCTGAAAATAATAGTTTCTCGCTTGTTCCTAGACAAAAACTAACAGCTAACATGGACCTTCAGGTTTTCCTGGGTATCCTGCACACAATATTCCATTTTTTTTGTCTGACTCCTCCTTTCATGGGCCTCCCTTGCAATAAGGGTTCCACAACAGAAAAAGTTCATGGTTTAAGTAAAACAAATTTAAACAAAAAAAAAAAAAAGAGAACAAAGGCAGAAAAGAAATGAATCCACCCATCTTTAGAATGCAGCAAATGAGTTTCAATGTGTGGAAACTGCCTCCACCAAGGTGAGTAATTACAGAAGATGACCCATACTTATGCCAGTTACTCTTTTAACAAGGTGCACAGGGTGAGTAAGCACAATTCCAGCTATAAAATACCTCCAGTGCCTTCATATATGCTCCAACATCAAGTTTCAGCCCATCAGTTTCTTTATAGTAGCGTCTGGAAATGAAAGTGATAAAGTTCCCATGAAATGAAAATGCTGGCAGTTAAAGACAAAGAAACCACATTTTATTATTTCTGGATCTTTATGGATGTCCATATGGCTGCATAAAAAGTCAAGTAATCAGAAAATCCCAGGCCTGGGTTTAATACCAGGAGTTAAGGACAAGCTCAGGACTGTGCAATGCTCAGGGAAAGGATCCCAGATGCCCATTTGGGAATAACCTCACTGGTTCAGAGGGATTTCAGTGTGCTTGAACCAGGATGGGCTGGGCTGTGCATTATTGCACAGTGACACAGAGCCCTGGCAGGTAAAAGGTGAGGGCTGGCCCCATCAGCAGCTGTGACCCCTCCTCAGTGTGCCTGCAAGGAGACCCCAGACAGAACCTGCACTGTTGTCCCAGCCTCCCACACAAGGAAATCCTGTTTATCAGGAAGAAAAGCTCTCCAAGCTGAATTTGTTTCCTTCTAAAAATGCTCCCATTGCCATGAAACTGATGGAGTTAGAAGGTGTCTTTAGAGAGTAGCCATGATATTTTCTGAAAAATCCTCTCCTTAGGATTTTTTCTCCTGAGAAGCTGAGAGGCCTCAGGGACAAAATGTCATCATTGATTATCTGCTGCTGTGGAATGCAACAGGTGCATCTGGGATTGGTCTCATGTGGTTGTTTCTAAATAATGGCCAATCACAGTCCAGCTGTCCGGACTGTCTCAGTCAGTCACAAGCCTTTGTTATCATTTCCATTCCTTTTCTATTGCTTGCTAGCCTTCTGATGAAATCCTTTCTTCTACTCTGTTAGAATAGTTTTAATATAATATATATAATAAAATAATAAATCAGCCTTCTGAAACATGGAGTCAACATTCTCATATCTTCCCTCATCCTAAGCCCCCTGTGAACACCACCACAAGAGAGTTTTTCTGCAACAGCAATTCACATTCTTGCAGGTCTTCCAAGCTCTGGGCAGAGCAAAGACATGTTCCTGTATGACAGGAAAAGAGGTAGGATGAGCAGTCAGCTAAGATTTTATGCCTTATCCTTCTGCCATTTTCGATTATTCAGCATAGCCTTCCTTTAAAATGACCACTTGACCTTTGCTGGAACAGCCATTAACCTTCCATAGTCTGCCGTAAACAGCTTAATTTTCTGACAGTGGCATGATAGAAGAAATTACAAAGCCAATTCCCACTCTCAGCCCAAACCAGATGCTAAATGTAAATCACTCCATTTCCAGGAGCAGGGCATTCTGCTTCAGTGCCTCTGACACTTTTGTTTTCTATGGAATGAACTAAAACTTCTACCAAAACCAACCTCACTGGCCCAGGGCAGGCACCTTGCTAAGGCCCTCCCAGCTGTGCTGGTTCTGCAGGTTGAAAATGAAGCTGGGATTTGTGCATGGCCCTTTGCATCCATGAGGCTTCTCCAGTCAGGAGAACAGTTCTCATAATTTATAATCCCCCTCCTTTGAGTCAGAGAAACTTGTATTCACATTACCTCAACGATCAGCCAATAAAATACAATATGCTCTTGGTGAAAACTGAGCTCTGAATATCCGAAAATCTTTATTTTTAAATAAAAAGTAATATTTCAAAGAAGTAATAAAAAGAGCTGTTTCTATCAATGAATGACCAAATAAACACTTTTACATGCACAGGGTACAAAGAATTTTTGCACTGATTACAATACGGTTCCTAAGAAAAGGTTGATTCTACATTTAATTTTGAAATATGATATTACTTAACACGAAATTTGATTATTTAATGTACATTAGCCAGTCTCCTGTTGGCTCAACATTTTCTCCTTATCCTTCTGAGAAACAGTAAGGATTTTTCAGCCCTGTTGGAGGATTAGAGTGCCAGGTAAGGCAGCACAATGAATTTAACTGCTCCTTCCCACTGATAAGTTCTGCCCAGCTGGATCAATAACCCACAAAATAAGAAGGGTTTTCATGCCCATTACAGTCTATTGAACCACTGAGCAAAGTTGTCACTGCACTTTCCCCAAGATAAACATGCACAGTCTCTTTTAAACCCATGCATCACACAACAGATAAGAATAACTCTTGTTGTTCCTGTTGGGATTTGTCATTATTCAGCAGGAATTAATAATGTTCTGCTTAAAATCTCAGAATACATCTAAATTAATTATTTTCAGGAAAACATTCCAACTCCCTGACTGGATTTTTTCCTGTGTGTGAAAACAGGAGGTCAAAATTTACTCTTCATGGGCAGAGAATAATTAAAAATGCCGTCTGACATTAAAACTACCAAAATAATTGATCTGCCACTTCAAAAGCACCAAACTGCATCACACACCTACATCAACAGCTCTTCACCCAAGCATGGCCTGGGGAAATTTTGGGTTTCCTTCACTATGAAAAATTATTTATATTCAGTTCAGAGAGGAACACGTGGCTACAGGCAGCAGTTAAACCAACAGTTCTCACCTCTGAGACACTAAATTCTCACTCATTTGGGGGTCACATACACCAAAATCCAAACTCTCCATGATTCCTATGAGGCTCTCTTGAAGCACCACAAGTCCTCTTCATTGACAGGCACCTTACCAGGAGTGCCTACACTGATTTCTGTCCTCCATTAAAGATATTATTAAAAAATGCAGAGACTTGAGGTAAAACCAGAGCTCAACTCACCCTTTTCCAAGGGAGATCAGAACAGGCTTCTCCATCCCAATCAGAAGTCGGAAAGCCTCATTAAGGTTGGCGTAGGTGAAGTTCTCTGCTGCATCTCCAAGAACCACACAGTTTGGGTTTGTCTTATCAATCTCAGCAAATTCAGGGACAAGATCTAGAGAAGGAGAAAAAAACAAAAAAAAATCACAAATCCCTCACTGTGGATTCTTCGATGCTTTTTTCCGCTAAGGTCAGGATTAAATGCATGAGATGGTATTTCTTGTTGGGATTCAGATGTTCATTAGTTCTTATCTATGTTACAGTCTCACAGACTGTGAGTTCTACAGCACTTCACTCTAAGAAACTGAAAATGGAGATGGGTGTCTCTCTCTACAATGCCTTTTGAAGATAAAATTAATGTCTAATTAAGAAATGACACTTAAATTATTTTTACTTTTAACCCAATAACCAACCACCCATGGCTGCAATGAGGACTTTTTTTATCCAATTACACAAAACCACCCAAACCCATGGAGAAAAAGAACCAGCCTCTACCCTAAAACCTCAATCTTGCTTTATGTATATTACTATATTCTCAACCCTTAAACTCTAAGTTTTCCACACTGTGATATTGCACACTTCTATTCAAACTCCACACCCACAATCCTGTCACTGTCATATTTTATGAGAAATCCATTTGCCAGGATTTCCTCTCCTGGGGAGCTGGGAAGTTTCAGCTTCTCCATGTTTTGCTGCTCTGGAATGTGATTTGGAGAATTGTTTACCCAGCATGTGAATTGTTTTTAATTAAGGGCCAATCACAGCCAGCTGTGTCAGACTGAGTCTGTCACGGGTCTTTTATTATCACTTCTGTTTAACCTTCTAATGTCTCCTTTCTCTTTCTTTAATATAGTTCTAGTATATAATTTTCTTTTAATATAATGTAATATCATAAAATATAAATCAGCCGTCTGAGAACTTGGAGTAAATTCTCATCTCTCGCCTCATCCTGGGACCCACCACAACACCGCAACAATTAATAACCACAATTGGCGACCGCCAAAAATTGGTGTCCCCAAGTGAGTGACCACAACACAATCCCAGCTCTGTCATTCCATTTTGGAAACCTTCTCCACAGTCTCAGGTCAAATGCAGTGTTCTCTTGGGGGTCAGTGCCTGGCAGCACAGAAAGTCTGAAATTCTCAGCATCCAGGGCTCCAACACCTCATCATTTCAGGTCCCACGGAAGCGACTGTGGTGGCGTTTGCAGGGGTCCCAGGATGAGGGAAGAGATGAGAATCTTGACTCCATGTTTCAGAAGGCTGATTTATTATCTCATAATATATATTATATTATATATTATATATTATATTATATATTATATATTATATTATATATTATATTATATATTATATATTATATTATATATTATATATTATATTATATATTATATATTATATTATATATTATATATTATATTATGTTATATCTTACATTACATATTATATATTATATACATTACATATGATATATTATATACAATATTATATATAAGTGTATGTTATGTTGTGTTGTGTTATGTTGTGCTGTGTGTGATATGTTATGTCTGATATGTTATATTCTAAGACTATACTAAAAGAAAAGAGAAAGGAGACATCAGAAGGCTAGCAAAGGAAAAGAATGGAATGATAATAAAATCTCGTGACTGCTCACAGACTCAACACAGGTGGGTGTCATTGGTCATCAAGTAAAAACAGTTTCACATGTTGGGTGAACAATTCTCCAAATCACATTCCAAAGCAGCAAAACGTGGAGAAGCTGAAGCTTCTCAGGAGAAAAAGATCCTGGCAAATTTTTCATAAAATATGTCTGTGACAAGCGACAAATCCCCAGATTCATGCTTCCTTCACCCACGACAACACATGAAATACTAAATAAACCTCAGTCTGACCCAACCCTTCATACCCCTACTCATCCATCCCAAACCAAAG